TCCATTTAAAACTTTCTTAAACCAAAATCCTTTTTTTTTTTTTGCTTTTTGTATATTATTTTAAATTCTTAAGTCTGTGTGTAAAATTTCTTAATTCCAAAGAAGAAGGTAAAACCAGGTGTCAAATTAAGCTCACTATTTTGAAGGTCTCTAATATCCATAAAGCAGTTAAACTGAACATTTCCGAATGTTATTAGAAAGTGAGTTTGGCTGGCTTAGTGTCCTTATTAAAGGCTCCGCCACTGGTGAGAGCAAAGTTAGTGTCTCCCTCGGCTCCTGGTATTCAAATCTGCGGGAAACCACTGTTTTACGGTCTCCTCACAAGGAGCTGCCATTCAGAGCACTTATGGGTGATCTCCCTTCTCTCCTTCTCCAGAGAGCTTCAAAGGACCGGTCTACTTGCCAGTCTTTCATTCTTCACAGCAGTCATAGTCTCCGCTCGTTCACAGAGACATCTTCAGTCAGCCATGACTCACAGTGGAAGCCCACAGTTAATGTCTTAATGACTTAACTGTTCAGATTTGTTACAGAAAATGTTTTGATAAATAGATATGAAGAAAGAAAATCATTATTTGAAAAGTAACTTTAGATTACATTCAGCAGAACACACATACCTCAGCAGTGAGAGTAAAATAATCTTCAGCTGCATCTTGCCCCGTAATAATGCCTCGACGGCGACTAATTCCGGCCATGACAACTCCTTGGAATTCAACTGGTGCTACGACTTCCACATCCATAATGGGCTCAAGAATACATGCTTTTGCATCTTTCAGGGCTTGGTTAAAAAGGAAGAGATAACACAACACTTTTACAGTCATATGCCTTTTTACATTTACTATTTAATACACACATAATCTGCAGCACATAAAGACTTGTTTTCACATCAAGCTGAATAACAATAAAACACATAATCTGTAAAGGAAAATTGCATGACATGCCCCAAGACAGGCAGTTTTATGGCCATGTCAGTTGGAGGAACCAGGATATAAGTGGGTTTATTTTTGGCAATCATTCATTGTGGTTTAATGTGATTTTCCTGACATGCAAACACAACCACACAATAGAACTCTTAACCAAATATATAATGGAGCAATTTGGAAACATGGTAACACCATAACCAAATAATAGAGAATTTCAGTGGAGATGTATCTGTAGAAAGGATTATAATATTTATCTGATAAGTAGATGGTTTTCCTCAAAATAATAACCTGTCCTCTTTCATTCCTTAAGAAGAATAAAAATCAAATGAATGGTGGAATGACTTAGGGTTAAAAGCATACATGAACATATCTGCACCCGCCTATCACGTTTTGCACATCCTGCATATATCCCCTTACCTTACCAGCACCTATGCCAAATTAAGGGAAGGAACTGGACTCTTTAGTGAAGAGACCTCAGTACCTTAGAAGGGGGAGCTGTAATAAAGGAGTAATAAAGGAGCAAGGCATGACATGACATAGAATGGTATGGCATGGTGGTGGCTGCCCTGGAAAAAGAAAAGGAAACAAACAAGCAAATGAAATGAGAGGCACAGAAATGCCTGGAGGAAAGTGGAAGAGGTGACAACTCAAAAGACACGTGCAGCAGAGGTGAGCTGGTGAAGACCATGTAAACTGCACTGACTGATCTTGTGAGCAGCCCAGATGCTGGAGGAAGCAGACCTGAAAACTAGGACACTTGAGGAAACTGAGGAGAAGATGGCTTCAGTTGCCACTACCCAACAAAAATGGGTGATTGATGCAAGGAAGAATCTGGCAGGGACAGCCTTGATAGGAGCCATGGAAGAGCAAGAAGCTTTGCGTGACAGACTGTGTCCCAAGAGAGATGAATCCTTCTTCCTTTTCCCCCACCAGAAAGCACCAAGTAGCCTTCCAGTTGTTCTCACAATCAAGGAGCAGAGCAATGGAGCCAGATAAATAAACAAAGAGACTGAAACAGACAGATGGAGTAGTGTGGAGGCTAGTGTTGTGGCCAATAAATTGCACGCACAGCAGTGACACTGAAGACTATGAAGACCCACAATTTTGACCAGCCATGGTGGAGAGAGAGGTAGCAGAGAGCCATATCAAAAGAGGCCAGTAGAAAAGATCTGGAACCTTGATGAAGGCAGTAGTAGAGTGGATGGATAAGTATCAAGTGAGAAAATGGGATACAGATAGACTGAACTGATAGGCTAAGCAGTTGGCTAAAGTTAGGAAACAGAAGAGATAATAAACAGGTTTATTACAAGGTTTTTGCCACAAAAAGAAGAAACAAGAATACAGAAATATATTCAAGTACAAAGAAAAAGAAAAAAAATGTTATGACCAGCTGGGGTTGGTTAGAGAAACTGGTACATAAAGTAGGGAACTGACAAATGCAATAGAGTAAAATAGGCCTTTGAGATGGGAAAAAGAAAAACTGAAGAGAGATTAAATCCTACGACAACATCTGAATGAATTAAAGATCAAGGTTGTTAGAAGCAAAAGGAAGGAGTGCAAAGTTGATTTGTTTACCAAGGTTAAAATAAGACATGTTTCTATAAAACTCTGGGAACCTTTTATGGACTTTTTGCTGACACCAAGACTGAAATGTTAATGATTTATGGATTTGCGTATGGATAAGGGATGGTTTATCGTAAGAAGAGATACATGCATGTAACCTTATAGGGGATGAAGAATCACTAAGTTTGTACTTGTGATGCAGACCGAAAGTAACTTCTTTAAATATTTCTTTTCTCTTTTTCTTATTTTTTCCTTCTGTTTTTCCTTTCTTTTCTTGCACTTTCTATTTTCTATTTTTATTTTTCTGTGTTTAGTTTGTATAGTTTTTTTTATTATTTTTTTTAATTCAATAAAAAAAGTTTTTTAAAAAAAATAGATGTCTCCATCCCTGGACTTAGCACATCTCCATCCATTGTTTGGCCTTTCTTTTCCTCTTCCTTTCATCTTTATATGCTTCTACCTCTTAATACCTCATCTCTATCCCTTTATTTTATTTTATTTTATTTTATTTTATTTTATTTTGCTGTTTCTACTGGAAGGAGGGAGGGGAATATGTGTGTTGTGTGAATGTAGTGTGGCACATACTGACAGAGAATGGTCAGTATGTCTATATAGATGGGGATTAGTATGTTAACATTATCAATTCATTTGATAAATGGATTAGGTTAGGATTATTGGGGTTTTTTTTATGGCCTTGCCCTTTTACAGAGTGTAGTATGTATATATACTGCATACATACTAGCAGGTATAGATGCAGTATATATATATATAAATATATCACACATTTATTGGGGGAGGGAGAAATTTCCAGGATTTCAGCTGGAATTGGCAATGGATTGATCAGGTAAGGCAGTTAGACATTGTTCAAGACTTTTGTCTGTGATTATGATTTTCTCTCTCAGTCTTCCCTTGTAAATAAAGTGCATTCCCAGTGTTGTGGAAATCATCCATTCTTGTTTTAGATTGTGAACAACAGTTACCTTAACTGTTTATCAGAATGCTGGCATGAGTGATAAATAAATTTATGAAATGTTGAAACTGATGACAAACACTACTTCTCAGGTTTCTGACAATTTTCACTTTTGACACATAATGTAAACTGTTCTAATAAAACAACAGCATTAAGGAACAGATAATCAGGAATTATATCATTATTTACTTTTACGGTGACTTATTATCCAGAAATTTAAAGTTATATAGTTCAATATACATGTACTGTATGTATTACTGAGCCAACACAATTATATGAAAAGCTCACATAAGACAGAAGTTAGTAACATTATTCATGTTATTCAGCATAGCAACCATTCAAATATTAATTTAAGTCATATCTGCTTTAACCATTGTGTTTACCAACATTAAATCTGTCAGAAAACAAATATAATTTATAACAGGTTCCTTCTCATCCATGGGAAAAAAGTAATTAAAAGGAAGCCATGTAGAAGTGACTTCCTCGCTAACTAGTAAAAGTTGTAAAATTAACAAAGTATATTTCTGAAAATTCTGAATCGAACTAAATAATTCAGGAAGGCAACACATATATATTTAAGGAATATATTAGGAGGAATGTCTTGATGGTAAGAGCTATTAAGCAGTAAGCAGTCTATCTAGAACCAAGGTGGATTCCCCCTTGTTGAAGGTTTTGAAATAAGCACCAGGTGACAGCTTTTTAAAGACTGCTTCAGTAGAGGGTTGGACTAAATGATCTACAGTCTCTTCTACCACATACATTCAATGATTTTATGAAAGTTACAGCTACACATTCATATAAGGCCCAAATATGTTTCAAGGATAAACAACAAGATGAGGGAGATCACGATAAGCAGATATAAATAGGAAATAAATGAAATTCTTCGAACGTAGACAGGATTAAAGTCATAAGTATGGTAAAGTGGTGAATAGTTCTAAAACGAAAGGACTAGAAGCTTGATGTGGTGGGTTGGTCGGGGAGAAAGAACTATCAGTGTTTTTTTAAATACTTATATATAAGCATTTTGGATAAATTATAGAGAAAAGTAAAAGGAAGAGAGAAGGCATTTGCAAGAAAACTCATAGCTACCTTGTTTCATGGCACCTTCAGCAGCTCGGGTGAAAGAGATTTCATTAGAATCCACCATGTGATGAGCTCCATCCTCCAGGACAAATCGCACCCCTGAAATCTTGTGACCTGTCAATGGGCCTTTCTCACATGCTTCACGGAATCCCTATAAAGCATGACTTGGCATTAGTGATTTCTGTCCCAAACAATACTGTAGATTTTAACAGGCAGAATGTTACTGAAAATATATATACAGAAAATATGATTCAAAGCAATGATTTGCAATCAAGACCTAATTAGGCTAAGACAACATGTCCAGGACTGAAAATAAAATGAAACCTTAGAGATAGCAACATACTATAAATTGAATATGTGCCATCAAGTTGCTGTTGACTCTTAGCAACCACATAAATATTCTAAATTAGGTTATTGCAAAAAGAAGCAAGCCATTTAAAATTGCCCTTGCATGGTTTCAAAATCCTGGGAAATGAGGGGTGAACCCAAGCCCTATAATGGTGCCCACAAAAATCCACAACTTCCAAAAATTGCTGGTGTTCACTTAAAATTTGGGATCCAATTCCTATCATCCTGACTTGAAAAGAAATCTGTCTACTAGATTTCCAGAGCAATTATGCTCTGGAAGAAAAATTACAACAATACAGATGCCTGTCTCCAATCATGTCCAGTTCATATTTAGTGTAACACAACTGAAATAAATATATGTTACCTTTTCAATAGCCGGCATAAACTGCCTTGGAACATTTGTCCCAATCGTTTTGTCAAGAAATTCCACTTTGGTGTAGTTCTCTGCATCTAGAGGCTCCAGATACCCTATTACTTTTCCATACTGGCCTGCCCCACCAGACTGCTTTTTATGAGTATAATCAAACCTGCAAAAAATGAAAACATTATGCTGCAGGCAAACCACATCTAATCCTCTTGTTTAATACTGTGTGTAGAGGTTAGGGTGGCATGTAGCTTTTTTCTGTGGGACTCAGCACTGACCTTCAGACCTACACGCAACATTCAAACACAAATTTCTCAGGCAGGTGAACATTCCGGGCTCTCCCACTGGGTGTGATAGTGCTACACTTAGTACCTTTAAAACATTGTTTTAGGGGTCCACCAGAGAACATTTTATTATGGGGTAACCTATAATTACATAAAACAATAGCTTTACAATGCCTTTCGTTTGTGTGAGAAGCTACTAATAGAAAGCAATGCAGAAATTCTCTCTTTGCACACAAACTATGATAGGATGGAAGGATGATTAAATGAATGCGCTGAAAGTGGGACTGCAATTTGCCATTTCATTGGGAGAGCTTCTGCAGAGACCAATCCCTGTGTCCAGATGCCTCAAGGAACAAGCCAATGGGTGCTTTTCTCAAGGCAGCTACGCAGTCCTCCTCCTCCGTTCATTACTCCCCACAGCAGCTCTGTGATGCAGGTCGGCTAACCCCAAAGCCGCCCAGCGAGTTCCCGGGGATGAGGCTGGACTTGCTCCGCCAGCCTAACGAAGCTGCGGCGCCGACAGGGAGGGAGGAAGCACCCGCCAGCTAAACCAAATTTAGTCCTAAACAAACATTCTTCGGAATGGGATGTGATTCTTTGCACTCTGGCTGCAATCCCTTTGGGGAGTATTTAGTGGCCAGTAAGAACCGATTAATCCCCAAAGCGTCTTGTTTCGCCTTCTGGAGTCGACACCGCCCAGTAGTTTTGGGGGGGAATTTCGACCCAAAGGCTCCGATGGTCTCCGAGCCGCGGCCTCCTTCCCAGCTGGGGCCGATTCCGGCTCCTGCACAGAAGCTGCGGTCAGAGCAGGCGCCTCCCTCCACCCCCGCAGAGATGCGGAGCCTTCGCGGCCCCGGAGCCTCCAGTTGGCTGCTCCGGCTGCTGCTTCCGGCTTCCCTCCTGCTCGCGGCCGCGGAGTGGCCCCTGCGCGCCTCTGCCGGCCCCGCCCAGGCGCAGCT